CTCTTGCATATATTCAATAGATATACGGTGCACAATCCAACTAATATACACAAACCCTTTGTTTCTAGGTGAAATTTCATTAGTATTTACATTGAAATAAAAAAGAACGAGGTCACAGAGTTCTTCAGCCTCGCTACGACATTTCTCATCTATCTTTGTTCCCTCCTCAGAGTAACCAAATTCATATGTGAATTCGAAAACTCATTTTCGTTGGCTAATAAGCTACTACTCGCAGCCTTCCCCGAGGTACCTTCGGCTGTTTGAGCCTTTGCGGACAAGACAATACATCTTCCATGCAGCCAGATTCAAATCTTCGCCCCCTTTCAACCTTATCCGCAACTCTTTCGTTGAACTCTTCATCGGCACGTCAACATGTAACGAAGTTTAAAGTTAACCCGATTCTCCACTATTATTTGGTGCCGTGAAATTATTTGCTCTTCAAGGGAATAGCTGAAGAACTTGCTTAACTTTCACTATGTTAAAACCCTAAACAACCACATCCGAGGGAGTGAAAAAGAAGACTTAAATAACCACATCCGAGGGAGAGAAAAAGAAGAATTGGATTAAGTGAAGAGAAATGTCTAATACCCGTAGAGATGAAAACAGGGGTGCATATTTTCCTGGTTAAAAATAATAGTAAATTCGATGAATGACTCGAGATATAACATTTTCAAAGTTTAGATGAAAACAGGGATGCATATGCTCCTGATTAAGAAATAATAAATTCGATAAATAACACTTTCCAAGTCCCATTAGGATTCAAGAACCTCTCCCAGTACTTGGCTCTCAACAAATCAACATTTTGTCTTGATCATAACTACTTTCAATGAAATTAGAGATAAACAATATTGCTTACCTTGGAAACTCCATCAAATCCTGCAAGAGACAGACCATCGTTCTTCGTAAAGATCGATACTTGGTTGGAATAGAGAAAATCTACTTTATATCGAAGAAGTTTAGGGAAACCATCAATCATCTCAGTCTCACCCAGCTGTCTAACTCGTATGCCAAGTGAAAGAAAATATTTCACATTAACATCGAGGGTTTTTGTTATACTGCAACCAAATAGCCTGCATAAGAAAATTCGACCAATGGTTTGTTCATTTTCTTTTGGTTTACTCTCTAATGCTTCGTCTGTTTCCTTTTGTGCCGGTGGGTTCCGTATCAGTTCGGATCATTTTTGGACATATACTGTAAAATGGTCTCGATTAATATATTACTTTTAAATTTTGAGTGCGTAAAATAAAAATTTACTCAAATATTAGTGATCTTTGTAGTTTGTCCTTTTTAATTTTATATATTCACTGTGTCACGTCAACAATCTGTTAAAAGTCTAATGATAATTAACCCTCAGTGATCACGTCTTAATTAAATAAAAATTAGAGTGATCAAATATTATTATTTTTTAAATTATGTGAGGAAAAATGTACAAAACTTAAACGAATGTGATCAATCTTGTAGTTTACCCTTAATAATATATTAATACCGATTTCAATTTTAATTCTATCCCTAATATAATAAGTTTAAGGATTACTATATTGGTTAAGGGTGTTGAGTTACTCCCCTAAAAGATCTAGTTTTAAATCTGTTAGTTTGTATCTTTGTTTTTTTATTTTTCTCCTTTAATAAATGATGATATGTGTCATTTTTTCCCTTAATAATTTTAATACCGATTTCAATTTTAATTCTATCCTATATAAGTTTAAGGATTACTATATTGGTTAAGGGTGTTGAGTTACTCCCCTAAAAGATCTAGTTTTAAATCTGTTAGTTTGTATCTTTGTTTTTTTATTTTTCTCCTTTAATAAATGATGATATGTGTCATTTTTTATCAGATGAAATTAATACGTTAATTAAAAGTAAATAAATAATATTATAGAATAATGTTAGACTAAATTTACAGATTAAATTGAATAAAAATAAATATAAAAGAGTTAAATGTCATTTACTCTTTTCATTAAAATCATCCAATTAAAATGATCACATTATGCATTTTTCTTGACCACAATATTTTTTAACGACATTATAAAAAGAAACAATTAAAATAACTTTTGATAATTTAAAGAATAAAACGTTTTAAAACATAATTTAGAAAATAACTCGATAAAAATAATATATGTTTTTTGAATAGTCTAAGATAATTATAAATTAATATTTATTTAAAAATATTTCTTAATCATTGACAATGAACCCTACAAACATAACTGCTCAAATTTAGGAATCAAAAATTTTAGAGACAACACTCTTTCCAATTAGTGATGCTATTTTTTTTTTCTTTCAAATTTCAAGTCTTGAAGTGGCCTATCACTCTCGCATGATCTTAAGAGCAGAAAGCTTTTATCTTTTCAAGTGACCTGTTCATCCATTGACGGTTGATTCTTGTGAAAGTTATCAACTTAACAAAAAATAATGTTGATTACGAAGGTACGTTGAATGTTTATATATATATATATATATAATATATATATATATATATATAAATTTAATATAAAAAATTTAATTTTATATTTATTTAATATCATTGAATAAGTGAAAATAGACGACTTATATTATTTTTTTAATATTTTATCATATTTTATTATTAATATTATTCGTCAATTTGACTCATTTTAAAAACAACTAATTTTTATCATATATATCAACTGTAGACTTATATGAATAGAGCTCATAAATCAACATACATAAAGGAAAAGTAAGTTTAAGATGGCGATGAGTATGTCTTTTGTATTGTCTTTTGTATTGTTTTGTCCTTTGCTTTTTAGACCCTCTCATAAGTAAGAAGCAAAGGCATAGATTTGTTTAGTGAGGAATGGAGTGTGGACCACAAATCATGTTCTCTTAACAGTGACTTCACGCAGGGAAGTAGAGTTTTGATGCACAATCAACAAGGCATTTGTTAAGGTAATATTAAAATCAGAGTCGGATATATTCTCTTTCATAATATATATATATATATATTAGATTCATTAATGAGGCAGTTGAAGCAGAATATATACGAAGGTGTGCACATGATTTTTGCTCCTTTTCCAAACTCTTTCTTTCATAAATTTTAATCAATTCTTTGCTCATCAGACACCAAAAGTTGCATTTGATTCCGTCAACCACAGTTTACCTCCAAAAATATGATACTTTCACCTTCAATAAGAAGAATGAAAACTATAGACTTTTATTTATTAAACGGTAGACAGCAACAATAATTTCATGGTCCTGACAATAAAAAGAAATTATACCCGTGTTTTTTTTAGATTAAAGATCATATAGACTTATTATGGATTATGCTCTGAATTTAATTAATTTTATTTATAATAAGAAAATTTAAACATATAATTTAATTTTAAAGCTCTAATATTTTATCTTATTGAACCAATTAATTTTTAATTATATACATATAAACTTAAATTAGGGAAGTTATCTCTTTACTTATTGATATATTCAACATTGTTTCTCTACTTCACACCTCCACTAAAAAAGGTATGAATTAAGAGACCTCGGTGATAAAGAAATTGTTATTATTCTTTAAGGTTTCAGTTCGAGCACCATAAATGTCAGAGGTGCGAGTGTCAACGTCGTCAAATAGTTAAGAATTATCTTTGAATAGATATATACATTATACTTATCCAAATTGAACAAAAATGATAATTAATAAAACGTGTAGTTTACTTTGTTTTGTATGTGTTACATAATAAAATCGTACAAAACTTCCTTTAAAAAAATAATGTAGTTTACTTTATATTTTTTTTTGAATTAAGACTTTTTAACTTTTAATTTAATTGTTCGATACAATATTCTCTAATATTCTTCTGTGCTCTCCTATTAACCGTGTATACAAAATTCTTGATACATTTCATAAATAAATAAAAATATTCATACATATTCATCGTGCTGGGTTCGATGCTTTAATATATAAATTATAACGATAATAAGATTTATAATCTTCATTATTTCTGTCGATTATTTTAGCCTTTGATCGGTCATCATAGGCTACACGTGGCATTTTATCCCAAATCCAGAGTTTCAAGATCATGTACAATGCCACATGACTTAACAAACCATAACAATTAGAAAATGGAGATGATTTATTGTCGTTATTGTGAGATAATCTCATGTAAAAACCTAAATAGTAGGTAATCCAACTTTAGTAGTGCTTAATCTCTTTTTTAGGTCTTAGAGTTTGGTACTATAGCACACGTGCATGTCTTTGAGTCCACAAATTTCAAATTTGCAACATTTTTTTAAGGTTGTCTGGTTCCAACTTATTGAGAGCACTAAGTGTCAAGGACTATGAAGGGGACCATTGTCTATAAATGTAAGTTTAAGTCTTTCTCCATCTCTTTTAAGGTTTAGATTGCTCCCACAAACTCTATAACCAAAGGCAGTAAGCAGTACTCCAATATAAAATATAAAATATTTGAGGAAATCCCTAATTCATACCAACAATGACAAATTATTTGTCATTATGTCTTGACCTGTCAGATCAAGTCGAATAAACTTTATCACTTTATTATTTATATATATACAAGCATCTAGATGTGAGTATGTATTAAATATATATATATAAATAAAGATGACCGTTGGATTTTACATTAGTAAGTATATTTTTTATAAAATTATATTAAAAATTTAAGATGTGAACTTATAAAACTTTAGAGTATGTAAAATTAAATTTTTAATAAAAATTATAAAAAAATACATAAACTATATAAGAATTTAGAATTTGTAATAGTGGCCTCCTAACATCTTCTCTTTTCATGAATGGGCCGAGGGTGTTGGAGAAAACGATTGTACCCCTGAAAATTTTAAATTCATATATAATTTAATTATTACTTTTATATTTTCTTTTAATGATCTAATTTTACATTTTTTGACATTTTATAATTTTAAACTCCTAAATTTTTAATATATTTCTCAAAAATTTATATATCTCACATAAAATATTACATCCGCTATTCGTCCATATGCACCTGTATATAATAGCAAGTTAGCTGTTAGAAGAGACGTGTCTGAGTTTGAGAGGATAATAAATTGTTTCTTCCTTTTAATAGAGAGATGTCTGATAATTTAGGCGTTAATTTAGAGAGGGAAGGCCTTAAGTACAACTTTGCTGGTGCAGGTGGTAGTGTGGCCTCGGGTGAGGATGGCATCATCAAGGAACAAGACCGGCTGCTTCCGATAGCGAACGTGGGACGAATCATGAAGCAGATTTTACCTCCAAACGCAAAGATCTCCAAAGAAGCTAAAGAAACCATGCAAGAATGCGTGTCGGAGTTCATTAGCTTCGTCACCGGGGAGGCATCCGATAAGTGCCACAAGGAAAAGCGTAAGACCGTGAACGGGGACGACATATGTTGGGCGCTGGCAACTCTAGGGTTCGATAACTACGCCGAGCAACTGAAAAATTATTTGATTAGGTATAGGGAACAAGAAGGAGAAAGGTTTAACTTGAATAGGGCCGCTGGGAGCCACGAAGAAAAGGAAGAAACATCGAATTACAGATCTGTGGTTCAATCAACACCGCCCACGTATAAAATATAAAATCATGGTGAATTGTCTGCTTTCAATGTCTGGATTTACATTAAAGTAGTACTTTTTATGTTTCTGATGTGTTGAGTCCGGTTCTTATATGATTCTCTCTTACAAATATGGAGTTTTTTTTAGTTATTATTATTGGAAGTATTTTGTTAAATCATCAGCAGTTTATGACATCTGAGTTCATAAATGGGATTTTATTACTATTGGAAATCTTAGGGTATATTGGTTTATGCTTCGTCCTTTTTGCTTACTTAAAGTTTCCATTTGGAGCTCAATTCTTCAACTGTTTTTGACTGTTCTTCCCCGGCACCAGATAGTAAAGACTACTGTTTTCATATTTATACCGTACGCCATAGATCAATTCGTCCCCATGAGAAAATAAATTTTTAAAGAGTTTTAAGAAACTCTTTTTCCTTTTTGTTATTATTGTTCATCCCTCACCAGCTTAATTGCTGGTTTATTTCAAAGAAACTCAAACTCAGACATAGTTTTGATGTCGAATTTAAAAAGAAAGAGAAAAATATAAAATCCAACTTTATGATTTTGTTCGGTAAGAAAAAAGAAAATGAGTGAAAATAAAAAAAATATTAATTAAATAGTTAACATTTAGAATTTTTTTAACTTCAATTACTAGATTAACAGATATTTTTGAACAATTAGAGACTTTTTTTTTTTGCAGTAGGGAATAAGAATAATTAAGTTATTGGTAATTGATCAATTTGTAGCATTTCAACCACCCTCTATATTGTGTTGATAAATCAAAGTCCATTATATTGGATTCACAGTGCTTTCTAGTCTCTTCCTTAATCATGGCTCCATTCTCTATATTGTGTTCATCTTCAGCTTTTATTCTCTCCACCTATAATTATTGTCAAATTTAATAGCAATGCACTCTTTTCATTACGAGTTAAGAGTAATTTCATTTGAATTGATATAATCGAAAACATACATCATCGTTCAAGATTAACACATATATATAAATGCGTACACTTACACTTGAAATAAAAAAAATAAAGTTTAAAGAGTGTTTCTCTTTTAAAAAAGAAAACTACAAAAGCAAAGGAAAGGAAACTCAAGAGCGCATAAAAAATATGAAAGCATAAATTTGAGAGTACTTATTTATCGGGACGTTGCTCGGGAAATGAATCACAAATTTAGACTTGAATTTTCCTGGACGCTGAGATCTGGGGTAGACTGACCGCATTGTAGTTGGCCTGAGACTTAAAACGGATTGCAAGGTGGCCTTCTCGGTACTTAAATTTAGATGCGGGTATAGGCAGAGGATCTCCCATGGATCCACACATTGCTGATATTGTCAAAAGAGATTGGGTTTGTTTATGCTCCGAGAGAGTGCAACCGGGTGGCGGACGCCATGATGCAACAAGCTTGAAACCATCCATTTGATGTTCACATTTTTCATGATCCACCTCCACAAATGAACCTGATTTTCTATGAAGATGCTCAAGACAGTTCAGAGTGATGGTTAGACTGCTTCCTAATTTTTAGTTTTCAGCTTATTTTTTTTCCAATAAAAAAATTGAACGGGTGATCAGAATTCTCCCGCACTCCGTAACATTTTTTTGTAAAAAAAAAAATTTAACCGTTGATACAAATCAAACTAGACAGTGGCAAAAATACTTATTTGTAGGTGTGTGAGGGGGCTTATATCTAATACAAAATAATTTAAAAATCTATTTCTATACTATTTAAAGATTTTACCAATATTGTTTTAAGGACTCACTTCTTCATTCGGCCAATTCAAAGTAGTCATAGTTATCCAAGGTTAGGGTTTCACTCTAAAAGTGGTAGATCTTGGGACCACACTTGGTATTTGGACATTTCTTTGTTTTGTCGTGAAAACCTCCATTAGGACTCGATCATGCTGCCATTAATATATAATATTGAAATGGATTGAATATGTAGTTTTCCAGCAAGTGAGGATCATGACTCCAAGTCAAGGTTTTGGCTGTTACGTTAATTTATACATCATTGGCAGCAGATGCAGACAATTAATTAGATAATTAAAGGATGGGGCTCTTTTTCTTTCTAGGGTCTCTCGTCTGGATTTTTTTTGTTTAGTTAACCGTTTGAAAAGATAAAGTCCGTAAGAAAAACGAAAGTTAAAGATGGTGTTTGATTCTTCTTTCTTGGAAATTCAGTAAAAATAAATAAATAAAAGGTGCAATTGGATTTCAGACAGGCAACAAATTAGTTGTCAAAACCTAGACAAACAGCCCCTTTGAACCAAACACCAACTTCATTTGTAATTAGATTAATTTCTTAATTAATTTTCAACTTTTCTTGTCTTTTTCATGATTGAAATTGGATAATGAAGAAAATTAATTATAAAGGGAAACGGAGCAGCAATAAAACGAAGAACATCATATCAGACAACAGCACAACGAAGAAACGGCGCAAATGCACGACAAACAAAAAAAACTTAAGGACACGTGGCAACATAAAAACAAAGAGCATCGTATATTCGTATCAGACAGCAGCAATGAGACAAGCCAAAAGATAAACACAAAACACCCAACATCAATGAAAAGGAAAAACAATTATTAGATCACGAGCCTTGGAATGTTTAAAAGATAAGTTACTCCAAAGATGATTTGATGGCAAAAACCTGATCTTTCTCCCACGCACAAAACCAAAGCTTGGAAAGCACCTGTTAACTCTTTCTGCTTTAAAAGTTGATTTTGAAAAGGCTTTTGACTCCTTTAACTGGAGTTTTATTTTTCAAGTGTTGAGAGTGTTGAATTTCCCTGTTGTTTTCAGGGGATGGATTCATGCTTACATAACTCATTTCAAATTCTTTATTGAATTAAATAGAGGACTTATGAGTTTCTTTTCAGAGGAAAAAAGAGTCAGGCAGTGAAATCCCTTGTAGCCATATATATTCATTTTAATCATGAATGTCTTGTTTAGGCTGTTGAATCTAACAGGTTAATATAGTGTGTTGGATTTTCTCCCAAAGCGTAAAATATTGGGCTTACACATATCTATTTTGCGATGATTTCGTAGTGTTTGCTAAGAGAAATGTTGAGGCTGTGTTGGTTGCTAAGAGAAATGTTGAGGCTGTGTTGAGACATTGTGCAGGGATTGTGCCTTCTGAGATACAAAATATGATCGAGCATATTGGGTTTCGTATTGGCATTCTTCCAATGAGATAGTTGGAGGTCTCTCTGGTTTCTAAGAGTTTCTTATTTAGAATGAGGGCTTGGGTGGTAATATTGTAAGGAATATTCAGAGCTGGTCAAGTGTTTATCCTTTGTGGGAAGATTACAGCTTATTCTAGCTGTTATTTTCAGCATTCAAAATTTTTGAAGTAGAATTTTTATGTTATCTTCAAAAGTGTTCAAGCAGATTGAAAGATTGTGTAATTCTTTTCTTTGGAAGGGTTCAGATGGTTCAGCTAAGGGTGCTTCGAGTTAGTTGCAAGAGAATGTGTCTAACCAAATGTCAAGGTGTTCTTGAGAAAAAATATTTTAGTATGGACTAAAGCTTGTATGATGAGATGGTTGTGGCTTCTTCTCGCCCAAACTGATTCACTTTGAGTGGCGTGGATTGAGAAATTAATATATTTTGCAGAGTTGTTCTTTTTGATAAATACCTCTGAAAAATAATTATAGCTGGCCTGGAAGAACATTCTTAAATTAAGGGATGATTATGCTCTTGTTAGTAATTCAGATAAGAGTAGGGACCAAGCTAGGAAGGTTTGGGAAGTACTTAGGCATAAACAAGATAAAGTATCTTGGTTCAAAGTATTTAGGGGGGTTTATCAATTCCTCGCCACTCGTTTGTATCTTGATTTGTGCTCCTTGATCGTTTGTTAATAAAGGCTCGTATGCTATATTGGGGTGGTCAAATCGATCCAACTTGTATTCTTTGTGATTCTAAAGTTGAAAAAAGTGATCACCCTTTTGTTGCTTGCGATTTCTCTCGACAGATTTGGATGGAAGTTCGTCATGGTAATAAACTTTTAAATTGTTGGATGAATATGATGAATTGGGTGCAGGATCATGGTAAGGGAAAGTCTTTGAAGGCTACTATCATTCAAATAGTCTGGTGTTGACAAAGAGCCTCACCGGCATCAGCCTCCCTCATCGTCTTTGACAAGGAGCTTCGGAACCATGCTGATATTGCATTTCAAGTTCTCTAGAGACTTGTTCTGGGAACTCCGGAGCCATATTCGTCGTCGTCACCCATCGCGAACTGGACTTGATAGGGAAAAACGGAAGCAATTATGTTGTTCCCATTTTGCAGCTCAGTTGATAAGTGATCGTATCGTTCTGCCAAGGCACAATAAGCTATGTATGTTTCTCGCACGAAACAGATCAATTCTGACCTCTTTTTGAAGTACAATCTCCATCTTCTTCAACGAGTTCAAGCACAGATGTTACCTTTTTCCTCCATATCTACAAATTTCATTGTATTTTCTCATATATTTTCTCACCATATATAAATTCAACTCGAGTATGTGTCATAGTTAAAACTCTATTTGATTACATAAAAAGTTTCATAAATAATCAAAATTCAACGAATTAAAAAAAAACTCATCATCAAAATTATCAAAATCATACCCAATTTTCAACTCTTTCTTTCCCTGCATACTTTTAAAAAAAACTATAAAATTATTATGAGCGTTAGGTGTTCATTCGGTTAACCGATCGAACCAAACTACCCAAAATTCATTAATCGAAATTGTTTTCCTTTAACCGTTAATTGAACCGATTTTTTTTGGAAATTTTAATTGAATCGAACAAAATTCGATTAATTCAATCGGTTAATTGAATTAATCGAAATTTATAAATAATATATAAATAATATATTTAATATTTTTTATTAATTTGGTCAATTAATTCAGATAAAATCGAAGTTTAAACACCCCTAAAAATAAATAATATATAAATAATATTTAATATTCGATTAATTAATCGATTTCAAATCAAATTAACCGATAACCAAAGTTTGAAAAGATCATTAACCGTTGACCAAACCAGATTAAAATTAACCGACTGACTAACAAAAAAAATTAATTCGATTGGTTAATTCGATTTTAACTAAACTATAAACACCTCCAAGTGTAAACTTATAAAATACTTTGAAGATTATGTTCTTGCCATTTTGACTGCTTTGCTCTGTTTTGAAAACGGACCGGATCGGCCGGTTCAACCGGTTCAATCGAGAACCGTTGCTTAGTCCGGTTCCATCTAAACCGGTTGAACCGCTATTAGTGAATCGGTCATAATCGCTGAACCGTTCGAACCGGACCGACATAAAACCGGAAAAAACCGAGAAAACCGGGATTTTTGTTTTTTTTTTAAAAAAATTAAACCAAACAACGTCGTTTGTTAAACGAGCCAAGTTGAACTCGAGTATTGCTAAGCTCGATTCGAACTTGAAAACTTTAAAAGTAAGCTCAACTCAACTCAAACTCACAAGTTAAAAATTATCAAGTTCAACTCAAACTCGAAATATAATATTGAAACTTGAACTCAAAAAGGCTTGAACTCAAAAAAAAATTAGAAGCTCGATTGAAGCCTAAAATTCGAACTTGATTGAAGTGAAAGAATAGTTATATAATTATAGTTATATAATTTTGTTATGCTTTTTTTAACCCCAAATTTATTTTTTAATTATAGTTATATAATTATATTTATTATTTAATATGTTTTACCTTAAATATTATATTGTAGTTAATTTGAATCATTTTGTTTCACTTGATTTTATGGTTTTTAACTTATATATGTTATGACTTGCTTTGAATATGACTTGTGATATAAAAAATTATTTTTTATTAAATTTTTTGATATTTTTATTTAATTTTTTAAATAATTATGACGTCGTCCGGTTCTTCCGATCGATCGGACCGGTTTGACCGGTTGAACCAGTGAACCGGTAACATGACCGGTTCGCTAACCGATCCGGTTCTGAAAACCATGCTGCTTTGTTCTGATATGGCTAGCCGATAAGTGGGTAACGTTGGTGAGGATGAGATTGTTGAGGATATGAGTAGTATAATTTGAGGTTTAGGGTCTGGGTATGATTTTAGACTTAAATAGTTATTTTATTTTAATTTTATGTGGTAAAAGATAATAATATATGTAATGTCATAGTAACATTATTATTAAAATAATTCATATTTTTCGAGAGTGATTAAACATGAAAAGACAAATGAGTTGAGAGATAAATAATGTAATTTATTTGTAAGAAATTTAAATAACCAATATAGAAAGATGTAAAATTTAAGCATACTTTTTTGAAACAAACTTTATTATATTTGTACAAATTAATTTACTTCAGTGGTTAAAAGAATCTGTGTTATTTCTAGAGGTTACGAGTTTCGAGCACTAACGACTGTAAAAGTGATTGAACATTTCTTGTCAAATAGTTGAGAGTATTTAGAGCAGATATTATCTTGTAATCAACTTTTACTTAATTAAAAAAAACTTTATTATATCTATTATTATATGTTTAGACCATGATCCATAGGTAGAACAAAAGGTTGTGTAGACGCTGTATTCCGAAAATATTAGAGAAAATGAGGATTGGGTTTAATTTGGTGGAATTATTATCTATATAATACAAAAAGAATAAATAGATATATGAGTTATACAAAAAAAACTATATATGAATGAATAAATATTTTCGAATAAGTTTAAAATCATTGAGTTAATGAGCCTAAACTGGGATCAAAGTGTACAAAAACAGCTTTAGAAAAATCATTTCTTATCCTGTCTGCTCCTATCATACATCAACATTTTGGAGAATCTAATTTTGGATTTGTCGGTTCAATAATTTAGTTGACCGACAACTAATCTAGGCCACCAAATCAGACGCCACCGGAAACAACGGCCTTACATTTCATCGTTCCCACTGCTTCACATTGAATTCCTTGATATCCTCAGTAACTTCCAGTTAATTTCGATTTTTGTCCTGATTGATTATGATAGAACTAAATTACAATATATGAAAATTAATCATAATTTAATCGTATTGAATTATTAAACACAAAATATTAGATAAAAAATTTATTTAAATTAATTGATGTATTGAAATCTTTAAATCTTTATTTAATTGTGATCTTCAAGAATATAAAATTTTTCTTATGGTAAAAATTAACTTATTTTAGATCGAATATTAAACCAATCTTTTAAGTATTTATAATTTCATCTTTCATTAACTTATAGATACAAGTTATAATATTTACATTTTAATTCAATGATACTTTCATATCTATAATATATACAACATAATTGATCACTTAATATAACATTATACTTCATGATAATATTGTATTCTCTTAACAAAAACTATTGATAGGTGGTCCCATAAAATTTTCGAAAAAGGATAGCTTAGTGTGTAAGTACAACAATAAATTATACATATATATCTACAATTATAAATTTTAATCTAATATAAAACACGTTTTCTTTTTGGTTTCACACTTCAAACGGTGTGAACAGAATAAAAAGTTTGATGGTATGAAACGCGTAATTCGTGGCACTGGTAACGTTTTAAATTGGACCATTCTAGAACGGTGAAACGCTTAATCCTGCCACCTATATATAGATTTTGCTTCTTCCTCAGAGAAGATTATATTTCTCATATATTCAGCAGGTGTTGAACAAAGTTGCAGTCGATCCAACAACTATGGCAGCTATGAAAGTTCATGGAAACCCTTTGTCGACAGCCACTCAGAGGGTTCTTGCTTGCCTTTACGAGAAAGATGTGGAGTTTCAGTTCGTTAATGTAGACATGGGAGCTGGAGAACACAAATCAGAAAACTTCCTTCCCCTCAACGTAAGTACATCGATTGCAGATCTTTCGTTTTCACTAAACCCTGTTTTGATCTAACGTTTCTCATCTTGCTGGTTTGATGCAGCCATTTGGTCAAGTTCCAGCTTTTGAAGAAGGAGACTTGAAGCTCTTCGGTAAGGTCAAGTTCCCTTAAAATAGTTTGTTATTTCTACTATTTTAGCTAATCCGTTTTTGAACATGCAGAATCAAGGGCAATCGCTCAATACATCGCCCATGAATACTCCGATGAAGGGACACAACTGTTGTTGCCAGGCTCCAACAAGACTGTGGCAGTCCTTCAATTGTGGAAGGAAGTTGAAGCTCACCAATTTGATCCTCCATCGACGAAGCTAGTCTATGAACTGCGTTACAAGCCGTTCTTCGGGATGACTACCGACACCGCAGTGGCCGAGGAACATGAAGCTAAACTTGCCAAAGTTTTAGATGTGTACGAGACTCGATTGGGTCAGTCGAAGTACTTGGCTTGTGACCACTTCACCTTGGCGGATTTGCATCACCTGCCTAATGTTCAGTATTTGATGGGGAGCTCGGCCAAGAAGCTGTTTGAGTCTCGCCCGCATGTTAATGCTTGGGTGGCTGATATCACGGAGAGGCCATCTTGGATTAAGGTCCAAGATATGCTGAAACAGAAAGTTTGAAGACTTGGGATGCAATCTAATGCAACTATTAGTATTTGATGAATAAGACTGAGGGTTTGTAATCTTGGTTGCATTTTTGCCTCAGCGTTGTGTGATTTTGTCTTAATTTGCCTTCAGTCTTCGAGTAGAATGTATTAGGTTTGTGTTCATCTGTCATGATGTTGCAATTTGTCTTTTGAATGTATTTGTTAATATAGAGGTGGGAGCTGGGGAACACAAATCACAAAACGTCCTTTCCCTCAACGTTAAGTATCCAGTATTCCATCACTGATCTCTCCTTTCCTCTAAACCCATTCATTATCTAACAGGTCAACAAATTTTATAAATCAAATTAAATAAAATTCGTAATAATTTGTAATTAATTTTAATTTTTTTCAATAAAAATTATATATATATATAATTTCTAAAAAGATTATTAAAAAAATTATAAGTCAAATTTATTAACATTCAGTCAATTCGGCCAACAATGTTCAACTCCCAATCAATGAATCGTCCATACAGTTAATCTTGACTTAGTCAATAGTTTTCATTGTTAATAATATTTTCTAATATTTAATATTTTTAAAATATTTTGTGGATTTTTTTAATATTAATAGTCAATACTACAAGAGACTTCCTAAGTAAATGAGTATATCATTCGTTACATTATAAGAATATTATATATTATCCTGATTGTTTAACGCCATTAAAATAAACCAGGATAAATCAATTAACACTAACATAAAAATTGAAGTACTAAATTTAAACAAACAAAAAATTACAAAAAAGAAAAATTATAATTTCGGGTTAAATTGTCCATTAAACATATTTAAAAAAATGAAGTTGGACAAATACCCGTCCTAGCTCTTATATTGTTCATTAGTGACAGCTAAGGGAATGAATGAACGTGGACACTCCTTTGTGGAGAGAATTCAGAGTCTCGAGTAACTGGAAGTTGCATCGGCATAGAACAATGCGAGACAATACATAATTGAAAGAGCCAATAAGAATGGGGTAAGTCTTGGATCTTGAGGCACATGGATTTTGCTTTCTTCCAAGTCTTCATATTAACCCACCTCAAACCTATCTTTTGATGCTCATCTTCATTCCATTATCTTTCTTATAAAATCAATCCAATACCTTCCCCATTGGTCAACCATTTTCCCTCCTCGGTGCCATTTTAGAAACAAGTTGTCTTAAAACAACTTAAGCACCCACAAGAAAGGAGAGGAGAAGAAAGAAATGGCTAATGCCTCTGGTTTTCCTTCGGCCATTTCTGTAGTCCTCACAACACTGGTTGTCACCTCTTTGACCGTCAACTCAAGCGGTGAGCATTACTTGAGTTTGGTTCCATCCGAGGCCGGCTGCCAGGTCTCAGTGGCTGAGTGCGTGACGAATGATGAGTTCGACATGGGCTCCGATATTAGCAGGCGAGTATTGCAAACCACAAAGTACATAAGCTATGGGGCTCTGCACAGGGACAGCATGCCATGCTCTCGAAGGGGGGCGTCCTACTATAACTGTCAGCCAGGAGCGGAAGCTAACCCATACAACCGAGGATGCAGCACCATTACTCATTGTCGTGGTTAAGGTTATTCTTCTGCCTCCTTTTCTTTCTGTCATTTGTTTCTCATTTGTGAGATAGAAACATTGCAATAAACTGGGATTTATGGATGGAACGTCAAGCTCCCCTCACATGAGATGGAGACATCACATATGCTGTTGAAGAAATACCCATATATGCTATTATGTAACCATTTGCCTCTCTTTGAACTCTAAATTTGATGCTTTGGAATTTTACCTTTCAATTCTCAATTTCTCCAGTTATAAAAACAGATACTAAACCAAATGACTTGACCAAACTCTGGTCTCAAACTCAAATGATCCCAAACTCGAGACTAGCCCGAATCGATGTTAGAGAGATTTAATCCAATTGATTCGTATTTGCACTTGTAAGTGTTTAAAGATGAAATGTGAGTAGGCCTAGGACAGATCATCTTCAGAAAGCCAACTTTAGTCATTATCTCTTTAACTTCATGTAGCATTTCAAAGATCTGGGATTGCTCACGCATTAAGTTTAATGAGCAAACATAAATTGCACCTGGTAGTGCACAGAAACCACTTCATATTCATTATTTCCCTCTACAAATTGCCAAACAACACAGTGCACAGAAGAAAAGAAAAACTGGAAAAGAGGGACACATAGTAATGTCCCTACTCTCGCTTGCCAAAGTAGTCTCCATCGAAACAAGATATCACCTAATTACAATCACACAATCAACTGCTAAACACAATCTTTGGCCAAGTTTTATGCTGAGCCATTCTATTGCTTTGCGGAGTCTGACTTTTGCTTTGATGGTGTAAAGGGGAAGGCGAGCCATCCACGCCTATCTCTGCTTTTAGGATACGGTCTCCCATTTCATCAAGTGCTTTGAAGTTAAGTAAAAAATAGATGTCACTCAATTCAGACTAAAACAAAAGTAACTAATTAACGATTTCCATTTCAATTAATACTACAATACTGCAAAAGAGAATACAGTTTCAAACTTCTTCATATCTGGCCTGCAAAACAGACATCAGATAATGGTTCAAAACAGTCTCAGCTTAGCCCCATAGCCCTAGATTTCCCAATAAATGGACAAATATGATAGTAAAAGTATATATTACTTTACCTAATTTGACCTACTCGTATAACGATACAATGGAAAAGCTAAATAAAGAAGAAGAAAAAAACAACTTTTTCAATGAAAAATATCTTTTACATAATGAAGCAACTCAACCACACTTCATATTACTAGACAATTTCTATCTTATGAAAAGAACATGTTCCAATGAAATTTTAAAATATATGAAAAGGATATTCTTTGCAATAATGGAATCAGACATTGTTTGAAACCTGGTTTGCTGTGAAAAAGAAAAACGCATTTGTCAATAACTGATATATTTCAAACAACAAAGGGTCTGATACTCTATAGCTCACCATTTGTTGAAGAAGATCTTGCACCTACAAAAAATCAGTCAAAGAAATCATTAAATAGATACTTATAAGAAAAAGAAATGCACCTCGACAACAACAGCAAATAATTGCTAAATGTTAACTCATTGACTAGGATTGATCAATGACTTTGCAAACTAAAAGTCGAGACTACATCGATATTAGCAATGGTTATGGCCTCACGATACTAGCAAAACAGCATACATGAAAAACAATTATCATTACATCTTATAAAACGGGGTTGAGGAACTCACAAAAATAGACATATCAGCAGTGTTTGGCTTCAACTCATTCGAATTTCGCCCGTCCTGCGAAAAAGTGCACTGGTCAGCCCATAGCACAAAGCATTAGAGCATATGGCATGCTACACAAAGCCAACCCCTAATTCAAATTTTAATAAAATCATCAAACACCTCCAAACTACAATCTTCTAAAGAACTTAAAAAAAGTCATTTTCCTTTTCTGAAATTCAACAGGAATTATGAAAAAATCACTATTGAATTTTGAATAAAAAGTTTGGGGTCTCAAAACAAGTGAAGACTTCATAAAGTCATAAGAACTGCACCAACATTCATAAATAGGTCCAGAAAACAAAACCTTAACCCCAACAGTGCAAGCAAAACCAATTCTAATACAAAAATTTCCACACACAAAATGTTTCAGAAATGAAGCAGAAGAGCATAATTGTAAAAAAAAAACACATTAAAGATTCACGAGATTAATAGAGATAGAAGATCATAAACAAGTCGAAGATAACTCTCTTCTGCATCAATTACATTGTGAAATCGTGACACGACTTTAGATCTGACCGTTTCTGGGAAATTGAACGAAATGGATCAAATGATAGGTGGGAAGATAACCAGTTGTAAAGTCTACGATATAAGAAAAGCAAAGAAAGAACGTAAAGTTTACCATTGTTTGTTCCCGCTGTGCTCCACAATTCGAAAACTTGGAAGCGTTGGGGTTTGAGGGAAATCATTAATGATCGCCGCTTATTTTAAAGGCGGAGGGTCTATCTCTTTTTCATTCGGGCCTACACCATTCATTGTTCCTCTCTCCCCTTATTTTTTTTACAATAAGATTGATTGAATTATTCTTTTAGGAACAATCAAAGATGGAGAAGGGGATGGGTATACTAATGTTATGAAAAATGAATTGGCGATGGAATCAGTTGACCAATTTAATAAGTCAATAGTAATGAAATAGAATATAAAAGATAATAATATTTTTTTATTTTAACTAATTCTTAATATTTCTATTAATTTTCGATTCAAAATTATGTTAATAGAATTTAAAGTCACATAAATTATTTATCATTAGATTAGTAGATTATTGATAATTAATTGAACCATTGTGAGTGTGATATTTATTTTTTATTACTCAACATAAAGTTAAAGATACAATTATCTTTAAAATATATTATAGTTTTTAAAAGAAAATAGATAAATGACATTAGGATGATTATATTGAAAAATGTTTTCCAATAAAGTACGTAGTGGACTCTCACCTGATTGGTGCAAGAAGAGGGAAGAATAGGTAAAAGGAGTTAACGTGTAAGTAGATTGTTTGGAGTAGTCCTACTCCTAGCATAAGTAATTATTAGTAGGGAGTAGAATAGAAGAGGAAAGACGTAAGAGTGCAAAGAGCCAACTGCATTCAAAACTTCAAATTTGTACACCTTAACGCCTTTACCAAGCTAATTATCAACCTTTCTTATTCTTGAGACGTTGCAACTATAAGATCCAAATCGCCCAATTAAACGTGGATAACTATTCTATCCACTATAATACAAGGATTGTTTACGTCGTTGGAGTGGAGAGAGACTCCTTGGATTGGTGAAATAGGGTAGACAAGTGCTAATACTTGTACAGCAAACGTCAGTTATAAAGCAAGAGTATAAGAGAGTGTAGTGGTATTTATATCTAGTCTTTGGATTGCTTGCTACATAATCATGCATGGTGATTGACTTATCAATGTATCCTCACTTGACAAGTTTGTCACATTGTTTTATAGCTTGCGGTATATAGGAGTCCTTCGTATATCCTTTTAATCAAATGAAAAAATTTATTAAAATAAAATATGGATCGTTGATGTCGTTTGACCAACTTATATAAATGTTCATGTAAATATGTGTCGATAATAAAAATTATATGTTGTTTTTTAATAAAATTTGTATAATATTTTTTATAAAAAAAATTGATCCTAATTGACGTCTGCGTGAGAGCTACCACCTAAAAAAATTGTCATGATGGTAAATACGTGTCTTACAAAATACACTTTTTGAAAGACACGTCTTAAGAAAAAGGTCTTTTGTAAGACCCTAAACCAAGTCATCATACTAAACCTCATTTGATGTCACTAGAGCAGCTACCATGAATAAAATGTTTTTCATTGAATATTTTTAGATTGACGGAACTGCAAAAAATGAGCTACGTGAGTTATATAATTTAATTTCAGAATGTTTAATTTTATTTTTGGAAGTACTATACACTTGTTTCGGCCTTTAGTGAAACTATTATTGACATAGCATAAACAATTCTCATAATTTCTCATATTTTTAAATACTTTTTTTTAATATTGTTATCATGTTTTTTTTATAATTTTTACAACTTTATAATTTTATGATTATTTTTTATATTTTAGGGTAAAATAAACAAATTGTCATTGACTATAAGATGTTGTTTTGTTAAGTCCATCGACTATTAAAAGTTATAAAATGACTAACAAATTATAGGACGTTGTTTTCTTGAATCTCGTGACTATTAAAAGTTACAAAATGATCACCCGACTGTTTATATGTTCTAAACTCATCCCTTTTTCGTTAAAAATTTGACAAATGTATGAGCTAGAATTGACTTGTTGATTAGGATATGATAAAATTATATTTTAATGATGTCTACTAGCATCGTCGTTACTTTCGACTCAACATAATGTTTCAAGCAGTCGATCCAAAATATAAAGCTCAAATGGTTCTGAGATTAGATTTTATCATATCTCAATCAACATGTTAACGTTAAGTTCAGACGATCGTCAATTTTTTAATAGAAAAAGACAAGTTTAGAACATATGAATAGTCGATTGATCATTTTATAACTTTTAATATTCAGGGAACTCGACAAAGTAGCACCATATAATCACGAGATCATTTTATAATTTTTAATAGTCGATGAACTCAACAAAATAACGTTCTATAATCGAGAGAACATTTATATATTTTACCCTAGTTTTTATGATATCAATTCAAAAATAATGAATGAAAAGACCTACTTAATTATGTTTGTTAACTTAGAGGTTCAATTGGGTGCAAACTTTTATTAAAGAGATAATTAATGTTTTATTATTTTGATGGGAATATTTGTTATCCTAATATATTTGGGCCTTGGGGCTGGAGCCCATGTGTGGTGTTTCTGGTTCAATTAACATTCCCATCTTCATCTTTATTTTGACTTTAGATAATTCAGAAGGAAAATGCATTAAAAAAGCAAAAGTCCGTACAAAACTTTGAAAGTGGGATCCAAGTAATCTGCAGCTGGGACACCCAAACATCGGATTAGCATCCAAACCACACCGACAAAGAAAGCAAAAGAATATTTGAAACTCAAACTCAAATTCAGGCTTTTTGATCGGTGGAAGAAGGATATGGTGGGCTCGAAACCCTCTCAGCTTGACCCTCATCATCATCACTTGATGGACGGTCCCGATGAGGATGCTGCTGTTCCCCCATCTTCTGAGGTCTCATGCTCAATTTGCCTCGATTTGGTCTCCGAAACCGGAGGCAGATCCTGGGCTAAGCTTCAGTGTGGCCATCAATTCCATCTAGGTAATTTCATGTTTCTTAATGATGCTTTTTATTTATTTATTTTTTAAAAACCAAGCTTCTTTTTTGGGTAAAAAGTTATTTTAGAAGTTATGTTACTGCCTGTTAACATCTCATCTGTTTTGAATTTCGTTGTAAGGCAAAATAAGGGTAATCTACTTGGATGATTTATGTGAATTTTTTGTTGCTATCAGTGAAACTATTAGCATGGAAATCTAGCTGGATAATCTTAGTCATGTTGATATACGGATTCAATTATCAATTCATTGTCGTTCGAAAGGATCGGCATCGTTTAGGCGTGTATCTTAAGGTTGTGTTATAAGCCAAGAAATGAAGGGCAGGGAGATTTTTAGATGAAGCAAGTTATATGCAAGTACCGTTTCAGCTTGAACTATGCATTTTACATGTTGCTTTGTGTCATGTTGTCTTTTTGTTTGACAGTTACCTTCATTCTGTCATTATTGGCTTGTGTAATTTCCTGCTTATGTCTCATACTTGCAGATTGCATTGGTTCGGCATTTAATATGAAGGGGGCTATGCAATGCCCAAATTGCCGGAAGGTTGAAAAAGGTCAGTGGCTGTATGCAAATGGCTCGAACCGATCACTTCCTGAGCTAACCATGGAGGAGTGGAGTATTGAGGAGTATTATGATCCAGTTTATTCTGAAATGGTATATAGCAAACTCCTATGTTTTTCTATCTGTTGGTATTGATGTTTCTTATCATGTTAAAACACACATTGTTCAATTTATGCGATTAGTTGCTTTCTTAGCTTGATGTGATATTATGTTTGCAAAATCTTGGCATGTGTCTAATGATTGCCTCAAACAGTGGTCGTTTAGTTTTATATAGATTATGACTTGACATATGATATGTCATCTCTATGCTACAGTGTTCACAGAAAGAAAAGTTTAAAAATTATCATGTTCGTTTTTCTTCTTTCTGTTTATTTCAATCGCAGAACTTGTTATATAGGTGTGACATGATTTTCCCCTCTGAATCCTCTTCTTTCAGCTATTAAAAGTGTAGGTAATTCTTTCTCGCAATGTGTTCTTCATATGATATCCTTGTGATCACACTTGGTACATTTTTAGCAGCAGTTTAGAGCTCAATGGTGTCCATTTGGTGAATTCACAAGAGTTGGCTCATCATCTGAGTAAGCAATGTCTCTCTTTCTGTGGTGTTGATTTCATTTTGACTTTTTTTTGGGTACTTCGATTATGAAACTATTAAAACTATATTCTCTTGAATTTTTAGTTGTTTAGTGCTGAAAGATCATCTTAACAAAATTGCTCACAACAATTTAGTTGCATGGTTGGTTTACTTTTCTCTGATATTGGCATCTTCTTTAAACTTTATCTAGTTTATCCTTTTCATGGGCTTTATTTCTGTAGTATTCAAGCTTTGCTACAGCCAAGATAATAACAGGCTCCTCTCACTTAGAGTATGTTTCTTCTTGAGGTTTTTCTCTCTAACCGCTTTGAGGAATTAAACTAACCAGGTCAAAGTGATTCCAATCTTCTATTGAACTGTTTAAGTTGCAGAAAATAGCTTTTTGCTTTATTGCAACCCATTCTATGGAACTTGTTGCATTTAAAACCCCGACTACTTTCTTTGAGAATACATTTTCCTGGGAAAGATAAAGTCATTTAAAGGAATATTTGTGTTATCGCATGCTGAGTACAAGGTTTTAAAATCATAATGGAATGATTATAGGTAGTGCTGCATGTTGCACTCTGTTTTTAGTTTTTACGTCTCGTTTGAACTTCAGTATTGGTTCATCTACTGCAGTTGTTTTCTTATGGTGTCAATCTCTCATTTCTCTTGTTCACCATGACAGAATTATAAAGACAAGAGGGAAAAACAGTTTTATAAGAACCTTGTTGGTTGTTTACTGAAAATGTTTGGGAGTTCCTTTGTTAAACACTTCGCTGCCCTCTGACATGGTACTTTTTCACTATCTTTCAGGGAAGTCGAATCTCCATCAACTACATGTAAGTTTTTCTATGATTACTGTTACTCTCTTCATCCCTACTCTCTGGTGACTCAATGAACCGACAACTATGTGACTCAAAAATGAAATCCTTCTACACGTTCATGAAATATATGGACACCACGCTATATTTGCTGAACAGGTTGCTGCTTCATCTGTGGCTCATTCATATGTTTCGTGTATTGGACCACTTCCATCCACTACTTTAAGAAATAGTGATAGTGTTGGTGATCCCAACTTCAATCGCCATTGGAGCATCCTCTCTGGACACAATGAGATTTCATCCCCCATGCTTTGCCCACCATTTGTATTCAATATTATAATTGGGGCCGTCATTCTCCAATTTTCTCTATATCCAATAGCCATTTGAGCAATACTGATCCAGCTTCTCTTCCAGCTGCAGCTCCGAGATCTTCTAGTGGTGAACTTGATACTGCGACTAGACTCAGCTCGTTTCGACATCGTTCACCATTTGAGCATGGGTAAGGTGCCATGCTAGCTGAGATACGTTTGGTTATACACCTGATGTTATTGTCAGTGATTATTGAAATATGACAAATCAAATGTCATTGACAAAATACCCAACATGATTGGAAAAAAAAAATAGTTGACCCTATTTCCATATGTAATAGGGTGAGGGGAGGTAAGGTAGTAGGTTGTCCCAACGCCAAGTTGAGAGTAATTTCCGTGAAATATCTCCGGCAATCAAAATTATGAATTACCCACCGTGAGACTCGATCTCACGACCACAAGGTTAAGAGCCTTGCGCTCTACCAACTGAGCTGGACGGGCAATTCACCCAACATGATTGGAAAAATTTACCTTATTTTTTCGTTATCATGAATGCTGTTGACCATTGGAACTCTTAATGGTTGTTTGATCTTCATAGGTCCAGTTCTAGAGGCGGGAGTTCGATTGTCTCTTCAGTTTTTCATCGTCATCCAGGCAGTGGTGCTCATACTCATGAAAGAATCTGGCCATCTCTTGCCTATTATAGACAACAACATCGTTTCCATCAACAGCGCTTCAATCGACCTGGTGTGCCTGCTCCCGTAGTTCCCGGTATAAGAGGTATAACCCCAATGACCCCAGCAGTCCCACAACCTGATCAAATCGAGGGCTACTATGTCTATCCCAGATCGAGTTCATCAGGACAGAACCTACCGGAAGCAGAAAGCTCATATCCAAATAATTACCATGCTTTGGAAAGAGAGCGTTTACCTCATTTCCGAACTGTTACAAGAGTCGGTGGTTGGGGAGGATATTTTCCTACATCTAGCTCTGGTTCTGGCAACCGGTCTGGGACCGACCTTTAGATTGGTTGCAAATGCTTTTCAATTGGTTGTTTCAAACGATTGACGGGCATGAAAAGTAAACCACAAGAATCGATAAGCTTATCCCACTTTTTGTAAACTATGGTAGAATTTGGCCGTGAGGCAGACCTATAAATACTTAATTTGGATGAGGTACAGGAGCCCCGTACAGTTCCGCCACACCATCCATGTGCTTTTATTCATTTTCTGTTTGGGTACTGTTGTAGGATCTACCTCTTCTCTATGTTGTTTACTCAAGTGGATAAGAAAGAAAAGCTTATAGTGCATGTTATGAGGAAAAAAAAAGATGTAAATTACATATTTAGTTACTCAATTATTCTTTTTTTTTTAAATTCATATTAATGCTATGTTTTGATTTAGTTATGGTTGGTGTATCACCATAAAGTTTTACGGTAATGTTATGTTATTTTTGAAAAAAAATAAAAAAAATATAATATCAATAACATTACTTTTTTAAAATAGTAAATGATCAAAATAGAATTAACGGAATTGTTAAAATAGTTGAGCGATTAAATATCTAGTTTATTCTAGAAAATAAGACGATGGTAGCGTGTTCTTAAATATAACATGCATGTCATTATCATAATATCTATACTAATCCTTTAAATTTGTCCCCTAAATTGATCGCATGCATCATTGTTGGTGGAGGTTAATTTAATGTTCGGAGAAAATTTTGTTTGTGCTAATAATATATTATATGTTTTTATATGCCATAATTCGTTTTAGGTATATTAAGTATTTGATATTTGTGTTGTGTTAGTATTATTTAACAATTTTCATTTAATATCTCAATTTATTTGGTATTTTTCAATAATATTCCGGCGTAAATCCACTGCAAGCTTTTGTTTATAACTTTTATCTTATCGCAATTAAAGACATATTTACGTAGTTGTTTAGAGTAACTCGTCAAGAATTCCATCCTTCGTATAGTTCATGAATCGATGTATTATTCATTCTTATTTTTCGTTTTGTTCATCCATTTTTCCTTCCATTCTCTGTTTCATAACTTTTTTTTTTAAAAAAAAAATCTTCTTTATTCATTTAGATTTTCTTTTTTTTAAAAAACAAGATGATTAAGTTACATATTCTCAAGTGTAACATGAAGTTTGTCTTTGAGAAATAAAACATTTTTTCTGTTTGGTTAACGAAAATTAAGAGGATTAATTAAACACTTCATTTTCTCTGTAGATTTTCTTCCATAAAAATCTGGCTATTAAACATAAAGTATACTTCGTAGAAGAAGCAAACAAGTGAGGAAGAATTTCAAATGAACTTGTCAAGTTGTTGTGTACGAGCTAAACCTTAAAAAATGTTAAATGGTGCCGATCGAGATAACCATCAAGGAACCAACTTCATGTTAACTAACCAATACACATATTGATAATAACATCTACTGAAATTCAATTATCAGTACTGATCTCATACCCTTTCTTACTCGACAAAGCAGCCAACTGAAATAAAACAGAGTCAATAACAAGTGAATCGATCAAGGAATTCGAGAAAATCAACAACAGCAGTGTGTGTGCATTTCCACAAAAGAATAATTCAATGAACACGAACACGAACACGGCCAAACCATAAGAAATCAATGTCCACATTAATCTCACCTCATATGTATCAATCGTACAGACAAAACACCATAACACACTCCAAATGAACCAACCAAATTCACACAGCGGTTAAAAACAAAACAAGTCAATCAAGAAAGCTTAAAAAATCGCAACCAGAAAAGAAAAAATCATAGCAAATAATCGAGACAAATCATACCATGATAGCTCAAGAATTCAGATCAGATGATCTTACCTGATGACAAATCAAAAAGTCAGTCACACTCGTTGAATATCGAATCAAGAATGACATTCCAATGACTAAAATGAAACAACATCCATAATATGGAGAAGAATACACCCAAAAGCATCACCAATTTCAAATGGATAGAGCGGGAAGCTCGAGAGACACAGGAACAGACAGGCGAGAGGTCGAAAGTATGAAGTCTCAAGCGATGCTATAACAATTGAGAGCAAATAAACTCCAATAAACCAAATTTGCTCTTTCACGCTTCACCAAAACTAAACCACGTGTTGGTTAAGCAGAGTGGTAAAAGATGACACAGGAAAAACATAAAATGAACTCCAATTCAAGGAGCAACAACAACAACGACGGCGCGTTAATCAACGAACCACATCAGGAATCGGAAAAAAACTGGTAAAGCATGAAATCATTCTCCCAAGTTATTACCATACATCAATTAGCACAAGATTTTAATATATATATATATACATACACACACACATTGGAAATTTTAAAAAGCGTAGACACCAATTGGGTTCTCTCTTTCTCATATCAAAATACGAGTCTTTTACAACAAATTAGAGGGGGAAATCAGGAGGAAAACAACGCAGGAAAGTAAAAAAGCAAAAAAAAAAAAAAAGGCTAACTGGCATGAAATCTTGTCAGATCCTCCTATAATGGAGGATATCTCTCACTAGATGATCACCTTCCCCATGTAACTAACACAGCTAATTATAATTTTCATGTCATTTTAAAGAGAATCCAGAAGCTGCATCCTTCCACTTTACGAAACCATTATTAATCTTCTTCATCATCTTCGTCGCTTTCTTCGATAGCGTCCTCGTTATCCTCCCCTTCGTTATCTTCATCACTATCTCTCATTTCGTCATCATTATCACCATCTTCCTTTTCATTACCCCTCTCACTGTCTGGTTTTTCCTTATTGCCACCATTTCCTGAAAAATAGAGAATGGTTTATTAAAATGCTAGTTGAATGATGGTAGCGTAAAGGGCAGATATCTGGAATTTCTCAGCAACTAATCTAGCATGTACAAGAAAAGCTAGACTTTCTATTTCTTTTATCGATTAAATGACTTTTCTTGGTAACAATGCTAAAAATTGATAGGATAGATGAGCATACCATATTCACTGAACATAACTTCACCAGAACATAATCCACCCTCGATTTTTGTGAGTTGGAGAGTCATTCTAGGTCCAATTTCTTGAAGCTTGACAGCACTTTTTGTGGAAGCACGATTAACTCGACTAAGATCACTAGTCAGAGTAACTGTTGCAGCTTCTTCTTCTGCTTCACTTTCTGATCCATAACCCGCTCTTCATATAACAAATCAATCACGTGAGGTGAACTAAACAAATCACAAAGAGTATACCATCCATGAGAACGGTACTATAAATATGTGTAGCTCATAACAATACTCACTTGGTGATGAAGTCGCTCACATCTTGAAGATTCCTAAGATCAGGTACTTGATGGTTCTGCACGAATTTACGAATTCTACGGGAGACACCAACAGGCTGTAGTCTGATAGAATAATGTCGAAAATCGATAAGCTTTGTGTCTTTATTGTAATTAAGCAACACAATCCTCTGGCAAGAAGAAAGTTTAACCTGAAATATTCATTTTGAGACAATGTTAAAAGGGAAGAACAAAGCAAGTGAAGTAAGTTGGGATACTAAAATTTAACCGTCCAAGCACTCACAGTGTTGATATCAATATCTGGAAAGATGTTCTTAAACATCGTAGTAGTGAGCTTTAAATGTTCATCTCCTGCTGCAAAGCCAGATAGAACAATCTGCCCAATATATATTCAAAATTAATGCCATGAAGGTTGTCAATATCAATACCGACAACAATGAAATTTATAGTAAGAGGAAAATCCATCGATTTTAAAAATCGTGAGGGTTCAAGTCCATCTATCCCCAACCCCAAAAAGTCCTTTTGCTATCTATTTATTTATCCACCCTTTTTGTTGGTGGTTCAAAGTTCCTTCTGTTTTTCATTCAGCCTATTCTTTTCCATTTTACAAGCGTAATCAAAAAAGTCTCTTTCATGCTTCAATTGAGAATGCTTGCTGGCAGGCTTGCATACCGAAGCAGCTAACTTGCTTATTATGCCTTTTCCGTTAGCTACTTAGAATGAACCACACAAGCGATTTCAAACATTGCTATATGACATTTGATGATCCCAGAAAGAGCAACTTTATCACGGACAAGGGAGATATGAGAGACGAACGCTTTAGCTAGAGCAACTCTTTCAGACCCTCTGCCTAGGCGGCAAAGAATTTCCTCCTGTTAGACTTTAGACCACTTACTGAATATTAACAAGGCAGACTAAGTATCCATTGAATGCATGCTCCTATGCTATCCTGAACTTCTTTTGCTTTCGTCTCAAACCAAACCGCCATAAGCTTCCCGGAAGCTAATGCTCGAGACTTTAAGACAAGACCTCGTACCATGATGGTCGAGATACGACTTTCAGGCCTCTCGTTGAGACATAAACTCAACCAATTCCAGCAAAACTTTTAAATAGAAAACTGAGGCTTCCATCTCTCCCTCGTTATGCTTCAACGTAACAAACACATCAACATATGGCTTGTAAAAAGCTTACATATTTCTTATATAAAAAAGGTTCTACAAGAAGCTAAGATTTACAATAACACAAAAAGTTCCATTAGGGAGATGGTAAGAGGCGAATAACTTACCAAAGGGGGATTTTTAAAAAGATCCTGAGGGCATCGAGGGCGCAATTGAGACTGGGCGATATCAACAGCCAATGAATACTCATGTATTTTAAAGGTAAGAGTAGGGCCTTGAGGAGTCTTTGCAACCCTAAGGAAAGGCGAAGTTTCAGTTTTTGATAGAATGAGGAAATGGGTTACACCCATTGGCCCTGCAACATTCAAAAAGTCTTTCAGATTGTTCCTTTTCTTCTCCTGCAACAATTAAATAACAACAAACCAAAAACCTTATTAAAAATAAAACTTATGAAACAAAATAAAACCATTTTCTATATGTATAAAGATAACGAAAAGAGAAAGAAAGAATTACCTTGAGATTGAGAGCAGTATAAGGAAGCATCAATTTTCTCAAGTCCATTTGAAGTTGCTTAATTGGACCAGGAAGCTTCCCTCTCGAAAACACGAAACTCTTTGGGATTTTATTCCCTGTGATATGGTCCACGTTTGATTGCTGTTGCTGGTTCTTTTTCACAATAGGCTTCACGAAAACCTTCGTCTTTCTCTGTTTTTTTTTTTAATTAAGATATCAGAACATGATTAAACCAAACCAAACCAACCCAAAACCAATAACAAAAAAGCAAAGCCCTAAAAAATGAACAAAAACATGGTGAAATTCATAGCTCAGTAGAAAATTTTGGGAGTTCAAAATAGTCTAACAATGCTAAAACCACAAGAGCTCGTTATTACTTACATTACGGAAACGAGCCATGGCAATAATAGAGTCGCCTCGATTTGAAAGAAGCAGGGTTTAATCGGCGGCTGGGTTTTAGGGAAGCTAAATTTTCACTCAGAAAAAAAAAATTGAATTTTACAAGAAAAATTGATTACGACTTTATATTCTGTTGGGCAAATAACTTATTGGTCTTGGGCTGAGTTTATCTGCATTCTAAGATTTCAGCCCATTTACTTTTATTTATTTTAGGCCCAAAATTGATTTTAACCATTAATATATATCTTTATGGTATATTTAAACAAATAAAATATGAACTAGTTTTTATAAAATAAATCAGTATTTCAAATCTTGATATTTTAAATACAGAAAATTAAGTTGGAATATCATCTCGTAATAGATATTTGTAATATTTAATTTGAATTAATCGATTAATAGATAAAATACTAATAGTTAATTCAAAATGATAAAAAAAATAAAAGAATGATTTCAACGTATTTAAATTTTAGACATGACACTTTATAATAAAGTGTACGATATGCAAATAATCCTCACAGGTTGTTTTTCATTAAGCCTCTCGAATCTATCATGAAAAAGTACATGATATATGATTTGAGAGCTAACAAAATTGATATAATAAAAATGAGTAAATTATACAAATGGTCGCTTATGTTTCTATCATATATTGATCATCGTTTTAATCACTTTTATTATCAAATTGTTTTATTTTGATCACTGAGTCGTTAACTCTCATTCGTTTGATGATGTTGTATGCTAATAAAAATGTTAATTTTTAATTTGACCATTGAGCTTTAGATAAAATGTCGTGCTCAAACCAAAAACCTCAAAGAGTAACAATTATATTGTCGTATCTGTACAAACTTTGCCATATTTATATTGTATCTGTACAAATTTCGTGAATGTTGTAAGAAGGCGATTCGGCAGACAGAAACCTCCTTACAATAGGAAGAAGTCCATAGCTGGTAGTGTTGCAATGGCCCATCCAGCCCCAACCATAAAATTATTCACAAACATTTCCGTTCTGAAGCAAAACTTCATTATTTTATTCTACTAATTTTCTGTCTTTCCACATTTCGGGAGAACATAATAGTTATGCATATGATGTAGAGAAATATACAGAGACGCCAGCTAATTTGGTGCATATCAGGCTAAGTTGGTAAGCTTGAGCTTTTACGAACACTTTGTTTAAAGGGTGAGGAAGTTGCTTAACGTGTTGCAGTGTCGTAGTGTTTTGTCGAGCCATGCCGCGATATCTTCAAAAACGATTTGGACGTTTTCATCGGGCTCACCCGATGTCAATGCATGCCACGTCCCTGGATACAATTTTATGGTTTTATCGCTGCTGCTTGCTTTCTCATACAAGGCCTTGCTTACTTCAGGATCTATTACTGTATCTGCTTACCCGTGCAACTTCAGGAAGGGGAATGTCACCTGCCAAAAACACACAACTGACTGATATAAATGGAAAAAAAGGATTCTCAATAGTTTCCGACTCGGTTGAGTGTCGGATATGGCGATTATCACATATATAGTTTAGGGTTTAGGGAGTCAAAACACACAAAAATATAAGAAGAGGGGGTGATAATTTAACCTCCTTTAAGTTACGTTCAAGGCTGATGCTAGTTCTCAGCAGTTCCAGCGCTGTTTTCAGTCTAGGTTTTTCTTGGTATATCAACTTATAGTTCTTGATCTGCAATACATCATGAATCAAACAGATACACCTGAGCCATATGATAATTAAATCGTTTAAGATCAGCTGAACTAGTTCAAGAGACAGAGAGATCACTTGAACAAGAGCAAAGAGGAACCGAGTGTCCTCGCCCTTGTGCGCTTAATCGGATCCTTGAATGACAAGTCGATGACATTTTTCGTCGGTACAATCTTCCATTTCGGTATAATTTCTTCAATTTTATTCAATACATTCCGCACCATCTTGGGCGCCCTCACTTTGTCCGATAGATATCAAAATTTTGAAGATTATATTTTTCGAATCTTAGTAAGTATTTGGTGAAATAAAAACAACGGGGTCATTTCCTTAATTCTCGGCCATTACCTTACACATTGGTGCAACAAGAATAGCACCATTCCAGTAAGAAGGGTCGTTTCTATGAAGTAACAGTGCCACTGCTCCTCCCATTGATTCCCCATACAAGAATCTGCTCTTATCCTTGTATTCTTCCTTCTCTGGAAAAAAAATGGCAAACCATGGTGAACGAGAAGAGGAAAAAGTTGGCTTAGTATTTTTGGCAAACACTTGGAGAGCACATACCACATATAGATTTGAAGTAGTCATTGTAGTCATCAACGATGTATTGGAACTTCTTAATGTAACATCGAGGACCATTGGATTTTCCATGCCCTTCATAGTCAATCCCAAACGCTGCATATCCTGCAGCAGCAAGCATTCCACATTCTGTTATAAAACCATGATATCAACATTAATTAATCTGCATATATCAAAAGTGACATTTTCATGTTTGTTCGATTGCTGGGGTAACATATGTCACATTATTACTTTAAGTGACGTGATCATTTGAATATATATAAAAATATTATGTCAGTAATATCAATTAACTGTTACTCGACTAATAATTTTCATTTAACGTGGTCTGTTTTAACTAAGATATAAAACATCAAAGACTAAAATATTCCAAAAATATTTGAATTCATCGTATGCTCCTATGTCATCAACGTTGTTAATCAATCCCACCGTTCTTTTTTTACCAACAATAACCGTTTAACTTATACAAAAATCTTGGAGTTAAATTGCGATGACGATTGCATTTTCAATTTCGTTACATTTATTGCAATTACGAACATAATAACAGTGTATGAAGTATTAAATACACGTTTACACTTTTACACAGCATTTCACTCGCGTATTAATGATTAATCCACATGAGTTATTTAGATCCTCGCTGATATGTTATGTTGTTATATTATAATTTTAAGGGTAATTGAAAAAAAAATCTTTCGTTAGTCGAGTATTAAGATAATTCCATTTGAGGCCTTTTATGACAGGAAATGTAAGACTCGTTATATGAGACAGAGTTCAACAAAAGGAAATTAGTTGAGCCAAATTTGATCATAAAGATTGAGAAAAGAGTTTAGTTGATTTAAGGTAGATTAAAGGTAGTTTTTGATCGACATACATTATATGCAGAATTGAAGCACAATGACATTGAATTTGTAGTATATGACGAGATATTTCTTGAAGTGTCACCTTAAAAGAGGTGTTACGAGTTATGCACAAAGGTAAATTAAGCACGTGATTCATCGGATCATATGAAGTTTTAAAAAGAGTTGGATCAATGATCTATTGATTGGTCGTTATCGCCAAAGATAGAGCATATGCATAACATATTTCATGTTTTGAGGCTTAGGAGATATCGTTTATATCATTCACACATCATTTTGGTGGAGCATATGTGAGTTATGACTTAGCATATGAGAATAACCGTTGAAGATCTTAGTTCGAAAAGTCAATGAACTTTGGAACAAGATAATTCTCTTAGTAAAAGTTTTATGGAGGAATCATGGAGCCAAAAAGGCCACATGAGAATCGAAGGAGACTATGCAACTTTAGTACTCGCATTAGTTTTAGTTTGTTTTTACGTTATAAATTCGTAGCTCTACCTTCCGTTGATTTTTTGTTTGTTATATGATTTTATTTTATGGTGATTTGATTAGTTAAAGAGGTGAAGAGACCTCTAGAGCAAAAAGGGAATGAAAAAGTTAGAGGAAGTGATCAAGAGATTTTCTTTAATATTTTGTTTGAAGGCAATATACTTGTAACTTTGAAGTGTTTCATAAAATTTATAAATATGATGTCCGTGTATGAAATAAACATTTAAAGTGTTTTTGGTTGATAAACATATTGTGATAACTTGGGTGGCAATTTACATCATAAACTTATAAAAGTGACGTTATTTGATATGGTGTTGATGTCATGAACTTAGAAATTATGTAGAGTCTAAAGTATAGTATTTAGAATTCTTGTTGAATCAATTTTTGAAGCCAAAAATGCTTTTTTTTAGTTTTGATATCGATATCATTCGTATGGTATCTATATCATAAGAAATTTTACTAAAAGTCTAGGCAAAATCGATATTATTCTTGGAGAATTGATATCGTTCATCCAATATCAATACTTTTAAGTCAGTATCAATATTACAATAGTTAGTATAATTCAAATATGCCAATTTGATATCGATACTCCCCTAGAGTATCAATACCCTAAAGAAAATATTAGTATTACAATTTCAATATTGATACTTAAAATCGTAACAACTTTAAAAAAACATTCTGAAATGCCAACAAATTTTTGAAAGCATAATCTATCCAAAGATAAACATGATCAAATTGATTATAAAACTTTAAATGATTTCAGTGTTGGCTAATGTCATTAAGTATGATATGTCTAAGAGATGAACTATGAATTTATTAAAACGGGTTAAAGTATTTTTTTTATTTTCTATAATTACAATTTTTTATTGAGGCCTGATAAATATTTATTTATTTTTCAAAAAAATATACTTTTTTCAATATTAATTAATATTTAAAAAATAAATTAGCAGGGGCCAGACCCCCTTAACTCCACGAAGATCAGCCCATGGACGTGTCTTGTGCATCATATAGGTTCTCATGATGAGATTATTCATTTGAGAAATGATATTGTACGGGAAATAACTTGAATATTATTTGACCAGCGGGCATCTATAATTTAATTTTTAGTCCCTTCTACTAAGGGCAATTTAAAGGCCTAATCTCTTATAATCCTTCTTTAATTTATCCCTTCCAATAAAAATAAAAAGTTGAATTAATAAAAACAAGTTACGTTGCTAAACCAAAAAAACAAAAAAGAGAAAAAAAGGGGTTAAGAATAACAAAAACTATAGGGAAAACAGGGGATCCGTTAAATGAGTGTTGAGGCATTGTATATAAACCCGGAGGGACTTCCCCTTTACAATCCATCTTTTCGTGATAGGGAAAGGGAGAGAGAGTTAATCCACAAAGCCTGCGGAACTCTCTTATACTCTTCCCCACCTCAACACACGCCCTTCAACAACCTTTCTCTCACCAAACAAAATGGCTCGTTCTTTCTCAAACGTTAAAATTTTCTCTATTTTCGTTGTCGATGGATTCTCTAACGCTGTCTCAAGGTAACAACTCATTACTCTGTTTTCTTTAATATTAGGGAATGACTAATGAGAGAGGGACAATGATTTAATGATGTTCGGTGTGTTGTTTGGTTTAGACGAGGATACGCGGCGGCATCACAAGGAGTAGTATCGAGTGGAGTAAAGGAAGCAGCGGCTTCGAGAAATGCCGCTGTGGTGAAGAAAACAGGAGAAGATATGGGAGCTGCAGTAACTAAAGAGAACGTTAACTGGGTTCCCGACCCCAAAACCGGATACTACAGACCCGAGAACTCTACCACCGATATTTGCCCGGCCGAGCTCAGAGCCACGTTCTTGAGGAGGAACTAAATAAACATACATGCATACACACATACATATATACATCCACACATACGTTTCATATCTGCCACAGGGAGTTTCTCAAGGGAAGATCCTTCCTTTTTCTTTTTTGGTTTTTGAATTCGTCCAACTTGCTTGTTTCTTTTGTTTTTTTTACCAAAATAGTTCTATTAAAAGTTTATTTTTTTCAAATGACACTAATTTCTTATTAATTATTAAATTTAGTATTCTTTTATTGATTTGATGTGTCACGTATGATAAATGTACGTCCATTCAATCGTGTTTTTTAGAAACATTTTTGATAGAATGCGTCTTTTATGAACTAAACGTTAAATATGTCTTAGTGATATTGCATGTATAGTTTCATAGTCTAGTCCTAAGTTTAATTCTTTTTAGGGATATTTTTTTATTTTTTTCAAATACATTTTTAGGTATAAGGTTTAAGTATATCAAAGGTTTATATACTATTTCAAAATTTAAGTTTTAGTCCTTAAACTTTAATTTTGTGATATTGAGTCTTTTTATCATTTTCAATTGAAAATATTAGTCTAGGTATTTTGATTTTTGTGACATTGAGATTGATTTTTTTTATTTGAAAACATTAGTCTCTCTACTAACTTTTATTTAATTTTATCATTAATTGCTAATCTAATGGTTATAAGGAAAACAAACTACTTTTAGTCCTTTATGTTTACAATTTTTATCCATTTGGCTCTTAGAAGAATATAAATCTAAATAATTGAAAAATCACATTGTTCAATTAAAGATGTTTTATATATTTAAATATTAAGAGCCAAAATAATAAAAATTGTAGTATAAAACTAAAATAGTTATTTTGCTTTTCTATAATTGACATGTCAGCAGTTAATAATAAAAATGAATAAAAATTAGGAGAAACTAATATTTTTGAAAAGAAAATAGTACAATTATTCGATGTCATAAAATCAAAGTATGATAGTTTAGTTTTAGATTTTTAGAACTGTTAGATTAGCAATTAAAGATAAAATTGAACAAAAAAAATAGTGGAGGTACTAAAATTTAAATTTAAAATAGTTTATGAACCTTTGATATACTTAAATCTTTACCTAAAAGTGTATTTGAAAAAAAATAAGGAAATATTACTAAAAAGATTTGAATCTAAGATTAGACGTTGAGATTATATATACATTATCACCTAGACATATTTCAATATTTAATTTATGAAAGTCATGTTTTATTGAAAGTGCTTTTTAGAAGTGCGGTTGGTTGGATATGCTTCTACTTACATGATGTATTTGATCAGTAAAAAATATTATTTTAATTATTAATTGATTTTAAGTGTAAATTTGATGAATAATCTTTGAAATGGTATTATTTAGTTGAAAAGCATGTTTCTTTGCTCTTGGTGAAGAAAAAAAAAGTAAGTTCATGGTAGTAAAGTTTGTTTCTTGATTTATGTTCTGTAAATTAAGGAATTACTACGAATAAAGAGTTACCCCTTTCATGGTAGTAAAGTTTTATTTACTTATTATTATATACAAACTCAATAAATATATTCGTTTTTATACAATGAAAATGAATATTATTTTTCAGGCCTTTTTACCCAAAAATCACCCTGACAGTAATTAAAAATGCCTTTTTGAAGTGTCTGACACGACAGGCATTGATGAGAACAATTGTCTTCTAAAATTTTAACTTATTATATAATTTAAATATAATTTATTTACTATTCTCAAAATTTTATAAGTGATTAGCTGAACTTGTGCTTTTTCTCTTGTGGTTCGGCTTATATGATTCGTCCTGTATTTGTTGCTTTGTTTTGTGTTTTCTTGGTGATTTTAATGGCGAGATTCTACTGAGATTGGCTCCTCCATTATATCTGTGTTGTGTTCGTGCTTCTTCCTTTCAATTACGTTTGAGCTTTAAATTTTCTATTGCGCTCCGTATTTCCTTTCTCTTTCATATTCTAAATATTAAAAAGAAACTGAACTTATGTGACGGAAAAGGAAATATGCGTCGATTTGTCTTTGTCGACTCCCAACGAAAATTTTGATATGACACGTAAATTCAGTGTTTATCGACTAGATCACCTAAGCCTCCGTGACGGGAGAAGTAAATTTGCGACATAAATCTGTGCCAAATCAAAGTTTTTGAACTGCTGAAGCATCATCGATATGACACATAAATCCAGTGTTTATCAATTAGGCGATATGGGACGAGGACATGAGTTGCGAAGTTTGATGAGCATCAATTTGAAATTACCAGTAAGATATCGACATCAAAATTCTGGATACAATTATACCATAAATTTCAAGAGGGTTGAAATTTATAACTCAGCAAAGCCACATGAAGTTATTTCTAGGTATATGGATGATGTCTTACCTGAGTGGAGCACAATCATTTATTACTGTAGAAAATATCAATCACCTGGCATCCAACTTTTTTCAATAATCGTGTTAATTATTATTTTCGTTCTAGAGGGTTATCTAATAATCCAAAAGAATGCTTTAATCCAGTTACTTGCTTCTATTATTTGTTGAGCCCCAATAACCTAATTCTTCAAACATATAAGAAAGAACTCGAATTCGGATAACATAACCAGCGGCAACCAAACAGTGTACTTCAATGGATACGAATTAGTGTTTCTCAAACTAGCAAATGGTTGGCTTATGACTGCCTCATCCAGGCACCTTAGCTTAGCGTAACAAACCACCAACATCCAAGCCTAGGCAGTACATTTATTTACAACAGCCATCATACATGATTTTACTTCCAACATCAAATTAAAAAGTTCCATAGCAGGAGACCTCATACTTATTCATCCTTGTATATATACCTACCAGTACCGTGCCATGCACATGTATTGGTTTACCTGGTTTCCGGAGCAGCCAGGAATTATGCTTTAATCATCACTGGCCAATGGAACAGACTTTACCTGAAAAGAATACATGAATTAGATTAGCTGGATTTTCTAACATGAAAGTAACACTCCACTGATAATTCTAATGTGGGGTCAATTGTTCACTTACCAACTCACGGAACTTGAGGATGTAGAACATTTCTAGATACCTTCGGGTCTCACGCCTCTCTAGTTTTGAGGCGTACTTCCAGAAACCATATACCCCGGCCAATGTCATCAGCCTTTCAGAATAAATTTTCCATGTATACCTAAAATATAAACAAAATAAACTTTGCTTAATCTCCACATTGATGGTAGAGACAATGGAAGTATAAATGTAAACTACATGGAACAGACCTTTCATAAATCCTCTTAAGCCCTCCATCAGATATTTTAGTCCAGTAGCTTGGGTCCTCCTTGCAACGTTCAAAGAAAGCTGCCAAGAGTTCGGAAGTCTGGTCAGGGTGATATGGATCAATATGGAACCCTGATATACCATTTTCGATAATCTCTGCAGGACCACCATGGCATGTGGCAAATGTTGGAAGCCCACATGTCATGGCTTCCACCACCGTAAGTCCAAAGGCTTCATAGAAGGCAGGCTGAAAAAATGAGACAGGGTTACTGTTATTTGAAAATCTCAAGAGGTTGTAACACAATAGCAGATAATTACTAAAGGGAACATACCTGTACAAATATACCCTTTGAGTCAGCTATGTAGCGATAGAGCTCACCATTGAGTGCTCGATTTGTTTGTGCTGCTATCCAACGGAATTGACCATCCAACTTATACTCTTTTATAAGGCCATGCATCTTCTCAATTTCTGCCATCTCTTCTCTGTCTTTGGAATTCTTTACATTAATGTAACCAGCAACAATAACAAGGTTTGCTAATTCCCTCAGCTTGGTATTCTTAGCATAGCACTCTACCAATCCAGTCATGTTTTTAACTCGATCTAGCCTTGCCATGGAAAAGATCAAGGGCTTTGACTGATCGCTCAAAGTACCACTACAAATTGAAGATGAACTTTGCATCAAAAATTTGGCAAACAAAGAAATATTTATTGTAGACTTGTACAGCAATTTTTTGCAACAAGGGTTACAAGGCAAATTCCTGAGTTAGTAATTCATTAGCTGAAAACCTCAGAGTCGCATTATATTTTAACTGCAGAAGCCTAGTATTCCATTTAATGTAAACTATTAAGATTCTTGAAAGTAAATGTCAAAATAGCAACTTATCTTCTCTTGGCAACCCACATCCTTGACTATATTCAATAAATAGAAAAAGGGAAGGGTGAAAGAAATGAATAAAATTTAAAAGTGCCTCGTCTAATAGAACAATATGTTAGAACAAACAGATCAAAATGTTATTAATTCAAAGATTATGCTCTAACAGATGTTAATATATAAGGAGCAACAACTGAAAAATGAAGAAACTCACATGTGTTCGTCATTCTGCTGAGGATCAAACAACAATTCTTCTATTGACCCATGCAGTGCTGTAAGTCTCTTTTCCTTATCAGAGTAAGGAAAATAAATGCACATATCAGCCCCGGGAGATACAATATTGAACTTTGGATCAAAAACATCAATGCCATGAACCACGCGATACAGCCCTGGAAGTGTAAAAGCAGTGTGGCTCTCGTACTGACCAACAGTATTCTTCCTGAAGGAGAAACATTGTCACAAGCAATTGGTATAATGTGAAAGACATCACTTTGTTCGTAATATGTAATAAACTACAGAAATTCCAGTTCAAAAACGATTATATGTTTTCAGGGGATCCATCTATATACTATAGGAAAGCAGCTGACTGAAGTTCATTAAGATGAACAATGTTCTTAAACATATTAAGATAAAAATAATGACAACGACATGTCCATTCTAAAATGAATGGTTCTAACACAAGTCCAGTAAATAAATAGTGTATTCAACAGTAAAAGGAGAAAACTTACGTTCCAGCAATCTCCTGGTATGTGCTGGTGATAATAAAATCTGCATTATTCATGGCTATTAAATCAGCAGTAAACTGACAAGAGAAGTGATATTTCTCGTCAAACTTTTTCCAGTATATATCTGAATCTGGATATTTTGTTTTCTCCAAAGCATGGGCAATGGTACACTGCAAAATGTGTA